AATTAAATCATTGCAGCACTAATCATCATAGTCCAGCTGGAACACATATTGACTTTGTACACTATAAAAAGTCCTGTTTATCACCTCCACCTGCGTGTAATGTAAAGTAACAGATGTAATCCAAATCAGTTTACAACTTTGCAAATGCTCTTATCGGGATATTTCTCCAGGTCAGAGTGTGTCCTAGAAATTACTCAACCTAGAATAATACATCATAGTGTAACACCTATTAGAAGCTTTGACTCAGCATTTGATTGTTACATAATGAATGACACAATTTAATCCAATCTACTTAGATTCTTTATTTACCTTTTTTTCTCCTTTACATCTGTTAAATAGCTACTGTTAAGAGATTAAAATATTCATTCAAAATCAGAACCTCATCTTTTGGTATATAAACATCATTACAGTGATTTACCTTTAGAAATGTTTTGTATATAGACCCTACTTTCACACATGCATCAGCTGTGGACCAATACCTAGATTTGAATAAACAACTTGGCTGAAATTGATGGCAAGTCATCGGTTAGTTGAACCTCAGATTCAGGGGTTCCTGCAGGACCATTGGGTATCTGGCTTGTTGTTGTAAGCTTTGGTCTCTGTACAACTGCAATGAAAGCTTCATCTCCATCGCTTGCTATAAGGCCTATTTGTTCCTGGTAGACAGTGAACAGTCAAGGTATGGAGGGTGTCACATATTCAGATTCTTATCTTTGCGTTTTGTGGAGGATGTAGGTCTGCTGTCTTCAACAAACAATGACTTCCACTGGGTCGATGTACTGGGATGGTAGCAGCTGACTGTAAAGTTGCTGAGTTACGAATCAGCACCTCCAACTCTGAATTCATTGTTTTCAACTGGAAAAGAGTGCAGTGTCTCTTCAAGCTGTGAGTGAGAAGTATCTCAGGTCTGTTCATGAGTGAGAGGAGAGCGCAGTGAGATATGGACAGACTGATTACTGTACCAGTCTGTTGTGGTAAAGAGACCAAGATACCGCTTATGTAATTTTTTTTTTTTAGCTTGTCCAACTGGGAGTAGACCACAGGTAAGACCAAAGACATACTGTAGAGATTACATCTCTCAGAGGGTGGCTGGAGAAAGTCTGAGAGTGGCAGAAAATGGATGGTGGCCTAAGCAGATGCTGATACTTTGGTCCTGCTTTTTTTAATTTATTTTTTGTTGTTAGTTATTCAGCCTTTGCATTAGAACAAGAAATTAAAAATAATAATTATAATTATTTACAATGTAAATAGAGAGTAACTTCTCACTCACACACCAATGTCTGACTTTCTTATGGCTACATCAGGGGTGTCCAAACTTTTTTCACTGAGGGCCACATACATAAAAATATAGGAGGGGCTGGGCCACTTAATATAAATTAGGTATATAACCTTAACTTTAGTGTTAGAAAGTTAGAAAAAAGTTAGAAAAATCACTGAAAAGTGGTGCTCATTCTCAGAACAGCAGCCTCAGATTTCTTCTTAGACAGAAGATTTACAGTACAGAGAAAAACAATAAAGGGGAAAATGGGACGGGTACATTTCAAGCTTGTTATTTAAGTTATTAGGCTTAGCAACACTATTAACGTTCGTTTGAAACGGTTATCAACATTAACAGACTGAACTGGACTTAATAACAGGCGTCTGTATAATTTTAGTAAATTATTCTGGTGAGTATCAGCTGCACTGGGTATGTAAATCGGGCCATCCAGCTGCGGCGCTGATCGCCACTCGTGGCAAAAATCCGGACAAATGTCACTTGATCAAGGAGCAGATCTGCATCAGATGAGATCAGCTGACTTTGCGTGTGCGCGCGCTGTGCACAGCGTGTGTATGTAACCGGTGTGATTCTGCGTTGTGTCTGATCTCTGATCAAAAAAGGTAAAAGAAAGAAAGAAAGGCCTCCAGGTAAATCATTTGCCCACTCCAGCTCCTCTCCCACAGGGGAATTGTAGAAAAGGGGAGAGGCAAAAGGGGTACACTGTATTTATAGGGTTGCACCAAAGAAGAAGAAGAAAAGAATGAGGAGGGGCTCTAACTGATAATGAACATAACTACAGGCTTGGAGGTCCTAAAAGTCAGGTATAAAAGGAACAGTTTGGGGGTTTAGGACACATTTTGTGTAATTATAACAATGTGATTCATGACCCTGTTACATGTACTCTGTGTGTTAACAAGAAAAACGCATATAATAAAGTGGTGCGTAAAAACAGGGTAGTGACAGAATTGATGCGCATTATTGATATTTGAAGCATGTGTACCTGCACATTAACACACGGATACTGTGGAATATATTTTTTACTCCCCTAAAGCGCTCGTGCTCTCGTCCACTCCCCGCAAAACAATTAGCAGCTGTGCGGTGTCTGTGGCATCGGTGCTCTCATCGCATGCGATGGAGTAAAAATCAAAAGCACAGCTTTATCAGACGGTTGCAGTTTAATGTTGGCTGACGAGTCTTCAATGCGTCGCACAACTGGATTTCTGGACATGCTGACGTTGTTGAAGTCCTGCACTTTTTCCGGGCACATTATTTTGGTGACTTTAATGAGGCCGTGTTTTATGAGGTCTCCATCTGAAAAAGGCTTGCCATGTCTTGCCATGAGTTGGGGGACCTCATAGCTGGCTATTGGAGCCTTTTCCTGGACAATTTGAGCACGAAAAAAATACTGCTGCTGACCCTGCAAGAGAGCTACCCTTTGCTTTAATTTCTGCTCTCGCTCAGCACCAGTGTCGGATGCATAGGCCTAATGTTTGGTTTCATAATGACATCGTACATTATAGTCTTTCATAACTGTCACAGTTTCAGTGCAGATCAAACAGACACACGTCCCCTTGAATTCTTTGAAGAAATATTCACTCTCCCACCGTATCTGGAATTTTCTGCACTCACTTTACTACCTTTCGCTTTTTTGGTTCTGCCATGTTTAGTAACTTGGGAGTAAATTTCTTCTGTGATTGTCCTTTTTGGTGGAGCAACTGCCTTGATTAACAGCAGCTCCCCCTGGCGTTAAAACTAAGAAGTGCAATACACTCCAGCAAAAGTTGAAGTGCGGGCCATATTCTATTCTATTTATAAAATTACTTGCGGGCCAATTAAAAATGGACCGCGGGCCGCAGTTTGGACACCCCTGGGCTACATTCATTTTTTATATGCAAAATATAAATGGTTATAATGTATAAATGTAGTAATTGATCCATGTATTTAAAAAAAAAAGAAGTCCAGATAAAGAAGCCACATACAGACTGTTTTGGATGAAAAATGACGTTTATTACAAACACAGAGAGCTGTTAGCAGTCAGTTAGCAGCTGTTAGTTCTGTACAAATAACACTGGTTGATTGGTTAGTTGAGTTTGCCAGTCGGCAACAAGGCTGGGTCTCAAACAGCACCCTATGCCTTTGTAGTGTACTATTTTTCATCCTAAACCTTAGTACACTACCTTTCACCTCAAACCATTCATAATGCACTGATTTCTAAGCTGTGTGCTATTTCCCACCTTATAACACCTCTATAGTGCACAGTTATCCATCTTACACCTTTAATCATGGTCCACATTTTATTTTAAGCTTTACTTTGTAGCACCTTCATTGTGAAATACATTTAACTTTCAAACTCTTCATAATGCACAGCTTTCCACCTGTTAGAGTTCCTTTTGAAATGCTCGGCAATCAAATCGAAACCCTTCTGGTGCACTCCGAGTTCCAAAGTTGTGACCTTGCTCATGTTTTAAGCATTTTGAACACTATAATTATTTTTTTTGTATTTTTTTTTGCATTGACAGTTATCACACTGACACAAAATCCTTTGCCAGCTCTGTAAAAGGAACAGAGTGGCATCTGTTTTTAAGGGTCATTCACCTGACGAATGTCATGTTGATGTTAAGTAGCTTGAAGGTCTTTAAGGACTCGATATTAACTTATATTTTAGACAGTCATAATTTGTATTTGCATGTTTATGTGAAGAAGTGGATGTTGGTATTTATAATGACTATTACAAGACATTAACACTGTCTTTTTCTGCTTTTTTACTACAAACTTGGACATTTGTGTAATTTGTTTCCAGTTTCCTAAAAAGGCCTGCTGCTGTTTAGCTGCAAATTAACAAGTATTTTGAAGAAACCAGTTTATCCACAATTACAAAGGAAAAAGAGTAACTAATCATCATATTCAACATTTTAATAATAATAATAATAATAATAATAAAAGAAAATTCAGTATCAGGGAGTATGAGAAATAGTTTGTATACTGACATCTGTTTCCTTAAAAAGATGAGAAACAGTAGATTGGTCACACTATACTGTTTTGTTTGACTGTTTCTCTTGTGAGAAATCAGCACTATAGTGTTTTATCAGTCTAAAACACTAAAGAAAATAATTTACACTGCTGAACGGAAGCTCAGATATAGCAGGAATAACCGCTAGCAAGGATGTTTTGTTTTTTTTAGAGAACAGACGTCAGTTTATTAACTATTTTTCAGCCAGTATACAACAGGCAGACAGGAACGCTTCCCCTCATAATTACAGCCACGAATTACAAACTGTTTAACAAATGTGATAAAATGTTGTGTAATTTGCAGCTAAACATTAGATTTTGAATATAATATTTAAGAGATTTGACACAAAATTACCCAGTAAAGTAAATGTTGCCAAACAGCCTAATATTTAACCCAAAGTACCATCTTGAACCAGAAAGTTATGGACAATCTGATGTCCACCATTCAGCTTAGAAAAATATTTGAAACAGACTGAATCAAAGCTATGCTGCCAAACATAGTTTGACATTTAGTAGAAAGCCAGGTTTGCAGTAGCTGGGACAAAAAGTCTAATGAATGTCATAGTCAAGTGCCATGTGTGTTGCCCTTTAAGAAAACATTAGGTTTCCTTCAAGTCTGTCTTAATATACTAGTCCCAATCACATTCCATATGCACATTAAGAGAAGCTTTAGTAACATATTTTCCTTTGAAACCTGCTCAGGAATCAGGTGCTTCTTGGTTTCTGTTGTAGCTTTTTTTTTTTTTTTTTACCAAAAAAATCCCAAACAAATTTAATAATCTGGAAATGCTACAATCTACCTATTTCATTGAGCATTTATTGTTTACAAATGCAAATACAGTTTAAACTGCTAAATCATAGATGGTTAATCGTTTTGAGATTTGTATTCTGTATTTGATTTCTTGATCCTTAAAAAATGATCCAGAAAGGACAGACTGAGCTTAAGCTATATGCGTATATCACCATATGTTGATGATGTGATTCTGTTTTATTATCAAATTACATAAATCACTTCAAACCCACCCTAAAGGTCCAGCTAAGTGACTTCAAATAACTAAGGTGAAACCTTGCAGACAGCTACACTGTGTCACCTGCCACTCAACAAGGTCCCACCCCTAATAACGCAAACATTAAGCCTTAATGCAGTTTAAACATGTGAGTTATGAACTAAATTCAGCCCCATACAGTTGTTACAAAGAAACTAGACCAAAACTGTTTTCTGTAGCAGGCTGAAGTTGGACATTTTAACATGGGAAACTAAGTATAGGGACTCATTTTTGCAGCATCAAGTGGACATTAGAGGAACTGAAAGTTTTGTTAGTGTCATTATAATTCTGCTAACAGAAACCAGAAAGCTGTTGCCTACAGGTTGTACATTTTTAGATCAGTTTAAAGAAGTTATATTAAGATAGACTTGAAAGAACTCAAACTTTTCCTTTAACACCAGTTAAATCATTCATAGTTTGCTTCATAGCACACTATCCTCCACCCTAACCGCTCTTTAGTGCACCTGACAGGCTGCGCAGCTCCTTAAGGACCGGGGTGTTGTCTGAGAATGGCACCAGAGAAACAGAGAGAGAGAGAGACAGAGAGGTAGAGAGAGAGAGAGAGACAGAGAGAGACAGGTAGAGAGCGTGCTGAAGGTTACAGCTTCGGTTTTAGTAGAAACAGACAGTCACAGTAGGTTGGGCTGCTGAGAGACAGACCGGTTCAGTGTCCACAGTACATAGAGTAGCAGTTGGACGTCTGGTCTATATACAGGAACGAGAAATGCATAATCAGAATATCAAACTAACCAAAGCTGAGGCCGCCTTGTTGACTGGAGAAAGACAGAGTAGGGGCGGGGCGGGAGGAGGGCGGCAGCAGCTCTGGTTTGCTATAAAAACCAACCAAACGAATAAACAAACAAAAAATGGTGTCACCGCAAACACAACAATTCGTCATGGCAACGCTACACCGGGACACCACCTAACTGTCGGTGGAAAAACACACACACACATAGGACGGCGTTACTAACACACGCACACACACGCTCTCCCTCGCTCTCATGCACACGCACGCAGTTATTAATATGACAAACATTTTCTCTCATTTTTTTTCTCTCTATTAAGGTGAAAAACAGATTCTATTATTCTTAATTATCTTCATAGTAATCTTCATCTGCATCTTCATCATAGCATTGGTGTGTGTATGAAGTGTGTGTGTGTGTGTCCTCAGTCTCTTTATACACACTATTAACAGAACGACGCGTAGAGAACTCAGTTCTGATTGGCTGATAGGTCTTTTTGCCTCTTCTCGTCCAGGAGGGTTTCATTTATTTATTTTTTTGACTGTCTTTTCTTCCTGGTGTCCCCGTCTGGATGGTGGTGATGATGATTGTAATGATGGTCATATGACCTCCCTTCCACTGAGCCACGGAGAACAGTTTGTGAAGTCATAAGAGTGGGTTATTGGTTGCTTGGGACCCTGACGGCAGCGTCTGATAGAACGAGGTGAAGAGCTGTGTTCTGGCTGAATGTTAAAGCACCAGGAATGAGGGAGGAGACTAACAGTACCTGCTGCTGGGAAAGTGTGTGTGTGTGTGTGTGTGTTTAAAGTCTAAAATGCTGAACAGTAATCAGGGTCTGAAACATGTAAGGAAACCTTCAGAGCACAAATGATGGCAGTGTCTACCTCTCCAGTTTCTAACCCTCTGATGGGTCACAGCACTGTTACATAAAGAGACAACAATGGAAAAAAATGTTAAGGTGGAGATTATTTTGTGAAAGAGAAAACTCGGAGCTGGTCCTGAAATCTGACCAGGATGCCTGTTGAACTCCTCACTTTTGTTTTTTGTTTTTTTAAGCCTAACTGAGGATGGACACCAAACTCTCTGGAGAGATTTGTTGTCTGTCGTAGGAAAACCTCAGGAGGCCCCCAATAAGAACTGGACCAGCCAAGATTAGTTCATTGACTCTGGAGTCTCTTGACACCATTGACAGTCAAAATGGAGGGGAATGTTACTACTGCTGTTTGTGCTGTTTTGCTGAATCGATATGGTTCAACTTTATTACTGAAGAAAGTGATGGAGTCGGTTATGCTTTGGAAGGAAGCAGGTTTCCTTATAGTTTCAAACACCGGGGGTTGCAAAATAGTCCACTCACTGTATTTGCATGAGAAACATGAGGCAAATCTTTGCTTTCCATTTGGATTGAGTTCACCACAAGGACTCACTTATATCCCCCACGTGTGAAAAAGATCCTGAGATTCTACATCAATCAACTACAACTCAAACACTATCTGTCCTTTTCTATTCATAGCCAACTGTGAATAGTGACCAAAGAGAGACCAAGGACCAATATTGGATACGAGGATTCAAGCAGAAGAAATTATAATAGCCCGAAGGGTCTGGACTGGATCAGGGTCTTGGTCTGTTGGGACAGACTCAAAGTAGAGCATCTAATCTACAATGAAAGGATCCACTTGTGGTTCATACATCCAACTAGGACATTAAGGTCTAGTTTATTCTGCTTAGTCTACTGCTATTGACTGAGAACAATCTTTAGGCATAATCACACCATTCTGGACTTCAAATAAGCTGCAATCAACTTTTTACAAAGATTGTTAGAAATTTTGAGTTAAAACCAAACAACCAACTAGAACACTAATTACACTTTAATTTGTTGACGTCAGGCAAGTATGCTCCAGCTCCACTGTTACACACTTTGGGGATCCATGAAGTTGCTATGGAGGGTTGCCCCTTGGACCCAGATGTAATATTAAGGATATTCTCCAATGCTTAAAACTTTAACATAATTCCTAATGATTGTTTCTGACAAATCTCATCAGGTGAGAAAATGAGAAAGTGGAGAAGACATATTTTTGTCCAAAGTGCCAGACACGCAGACATTGTCCATCGTCATGTTTACATTTTTGCTGCACAAATATTTCCCAACATGCTTTTGACCCATTTTGCATTTAGTATTTGGAGTGCTGTCATTGTGTTTGTGTATGTACTAATAGTAAACCAGATTCTGACCCTGCTGCCAGTGTGTGTTTGTTCATGTGTATGTGTCAGTGTGTGTTGAGCACGCTGCGTGGCACCCAGCCCTCGGCGGCTGGCGAATCGCTGTTGGCCGGCCGATAGACCAGACTCTGACCCTGCTGGTTGGATGCCAGAATCTGAACCTTCTCCCCCCGAAACACAGAGATCTCATCCTCCCGCACTGCCACAAAGTCCTGCAGCACCAGAACCAGTTCCTGAAGGGTCAAAGGTCATATGGTCTGATGTAAGAAAGTTTTTCAAGAACTTATGGTACACAAGGAAAGTGAAAGGAGGGATTCAAACCTGATCTTCCTGTTCACTGTCAGGAGGGGGCTGAGTTGCGTGACCGTTGGGAGTGGGCGGTGCAGATGGCGGCCTTCCTGATGACAGTGGCCGTGTCACAGAGATCACGCCCTCTTTCCTCTGATACTCAATAGGAGACTGGAGAGCTGTGGGCACAGATTAGATGTATGGATATGCATGAGCTGTTTCAGTGAGATTTAAGGAGATTTATAGAGATCTAGGAATGTTGGAGGGTTGTTAACAAAAATGATACTTTTGATTGATTCAAGGAGTTTTCAAGGAGGTTGTAAGGAAGACATTTTTGGGAAATTTGGAAATTGGATTCATTTGGCATTAAAAAAAGATTAAACAGCTTGCAGAGGATTTGAGACTTAGGAAGGTATTCTAAGATTTCAAGGGTGACTTAAGGGGGGTTTACAATAACACAAGTCCAACGTTACTAACATAACAGAGATGTTTAAGGGTGGTTTGGGGAATTTAAGGCTATTTAAATATGGTTTAAGGATATTTAGGGTAAAACAAAAGGTATTTGAGGAATATGAGAAAGATAATAAAAGATGTTCCATTGAGATTCAGTAGCATTTCAGTTGAATAAGAGATTTCAAAATCAGTGGTGATCCAATGACAATGAAAGGGAATTTTCCAAGGAGAATTAAGGACATTTTAGGACAGGTAATGTAATGGATATTTCAGATATTTCAGGAATGTTTTTGACAAGGTTTTTACCTGACAGGAAGTTGTTCTGGGCATCCAGCAGGGAAGCAATGGTCTCTACCCAGGTCATCTTTATGCTGGCAGAAGATGCCTGGAGCGTGAAGCGCTCCGCCGACCCACGAGACCACAACACAAACTTACAGGGATCACCGTCCACGCTGTCCTGCATTGCCAGATAACTCACCTGAACACAAACAATAACACAATTACTCCTAATTCAGACCTCAAGACGGTGTCGAGTCTAAACAGTGCTGACCAGTCTGACCTTTATGCTGTTCTTGAACTGGTATCCTGGGTTGTTGGAGCCTTTGCGCAGCAGTTCGCTAAAGATGATGATCTGTTCGAACAGAAAAACTCTGCGCTCTTTGCTGCGAGACAGAACGCCTCCGTCCTGCTCCCAAACACAGAAAGTCTCCTGCTGCAGCAGCTTCCCCTGAGACGTTAGCTTTCCCTGGAAAGCACGAGGAGGTGAGTGAGGAAAGAAAGACCGATGGTTAAGAGTCCAGGTACCCTGCAGCAAACTTTACATTTCCAGGAAATCAGCAAAAGCAAATTGTGTACATGCCTCATATATGTCATTGTTAATTGTTTGTATTGTGCTTTCTACACACATTTCTAATTTTTTGAATTAATATGTGCCTGAAACAGGTAAATTGCACACAAACTACTTGAGAAGCTGTTGTTGTAGAGCTCGGTAGCAGCACCCACAACAACATTATTATGCCATGTGTGCTGTTATCAATGTAATATGGTGTTCCTCCTGGTTCTGTTCATTGTCCTTCATCTCTGTGTGGTTCAGTTCTGCTTTTTGTCCATTTTGTGTTAGTAGACCAAAATGCAAAATTAAAAATTAGAAATATTATCACATTTCTTTCAGAGCTTTCAGTGTTAATTAGTATGAAATCAATTATGTTACTATGTTGTCCTAGTGACATGAAATTGCTAACAAAACAAATCAGCCGGACAGGTGGACAGACAGGTGTACCTCGTATCCCTGCAGGCGTCCCAGGTTCATCATGTCATTGCAGCGTTTTGGAACCAATGACATCAGCTCCACCGCTTTCTGTACACAGACCACACACACAGTTACTAAATATTACAAAAGTTTGTGTTAGTCCTCAGGGCGATGATTCACCATCTCGTGTAAATCATTTATAACGATCTTCACTATGCCAGAAGCAGCAGCAGCTCTTTGCTGTCTCCTGCTCGTTGGTTATGAGACAGAAACAGCTGTCTGCTGAAGAACAAAACTCATGTGTTTGTTGTCTATTAGAGTTTTTTTTTTTTACAACTCTTAGCAAAGCTAAAAAAGGAAATATCTATTTAACAAAGTTTATCATTTTTAAAAGTCACAAGAATTTGAATGAAAATATAATAAATTCAGTAAATAAACTGTTTCCCAGAATGTAGATCCTTTGTGCCTTTGTGTATTATCAGAACAGTTTATGGCACAAAACAACTGTTTTTATATTATCAAACTAAATTGATCAATAACAAAAAACACGAACAAAGCTGTGGTTCAGTTGTTTGATGTTTCTGAAAGCTTATGAGATGATTTACAGAAAAGGAAAGCAAAGAAATGAAACTTACCTCAATCTCCTCACAGTCCAGCCCTGCCTTCGACGTATACTTGAGGAAATCCTGATGAACAAACAGAAAAAATATAAGTGTTTGAATGTCAGCCAAAGTCATAGTGTGTCCTTAAAGTGTAACATCAGAAAATATCTTAAAATACACGCTGGTATGATGAACTGATGAGTTTATCTCTGATTTCTCACAAAAAGCTCTACCCAAAAATACAAAATTTATGCCATTACAAGCAAGGCTGTCATTGTGAACCAATCAGAGCGCACAGGTAATAACTGTAAAGGCAGTTAATAAAACAACCCACACATTTCTTGCCTGTGGTAGTTAATAAAACAACCCACACATTTCTTGAGTGAGTTGAGTTGAGTCAGAATAATTTCTCAGTCTAATACTACACCCATGTCAAATTGTAGCTAATTTCAAAGACAACATCAGTATGAGTCAAATCAAGTCTTGAGGTCGGCTCCAACTCAAAAACAACAAATCCCAAGTTGCATCCCGGGTTGTGTCCTGAATCAAGTCCCTCAATAAAAACCCGATCTGACCGAAGTTCTAATTCAAGCCTAGAGCAAGAGCCAATAGGTCTGTGCGATATGATCAAAATCTCATATCCCGATAGAAGACATTTCTCATCCCGATAATGATATAATTCACAAAATAGTGCATTTTCTGTAAATTCTGTGAATCTCTGGCACTCGACGTGTTTTCAGCTGGGAGTCCTGTACCTGGAGTGGAGTGTTTTGACCGATGCATGAAAATATATATATTTTTAGTTGTATTTTAAGTTGTATTACATGACATGACATGTTGCGAGAAAAAGCCAGTTCTAACGTTTGAGTCTAAGGTTTATTTTGAGCACCTGACGGCTCTTTTTTGCTTCTCATCCGTAAACTCTCTTCATACTTTTTCATGTAATTCTTGCGCTGGTAGAAGAAAAACATACTGCTTTAAACAGAGTGTTTTGCAACACCTTGAAACAAACCATAATGTATAATATGAAATGATAGATGATTTAATTTCTTCATCTGATATATTTTGTCATGTCACACAGCCCTGAGAGCCAACCAGTCTATAATCAAGATCAGCACCTCTGGTCAAATTCCAAATTTAGCTTGGTTTTTAGTTTTATGCCATATTTGTCAGGGAAAATGCACAAAAGCCTAATAACCTTAATAATAAAAGAACCTTTGTACCACATTTAGCTACTGGGTAATTGTCTTCTATGGTCTCTAGGCAGATGCATTTTTAAGCAGGATATATAATACCCAAACCTACTCCACAGATAATACCAGCAATTCCATTGTAACATTCAGATTCCACCAAAAATGTATTAAATATATTTTAAAATCAATGTTTCATTTAAGCAGTTAGTGTAAACACAAATCATGTTGACAGGTTCTTCACAGACCTTGAGCAGCAGCTGGTACTTGGTGATTCTCTGGATTGGTTTGATCAGATAATCACTGATGGACATCCTGCAGCTGATCTCATGCTGGATTTCCTACAGACAGACAGGCAGAGATAGAAGGTCTGGTTCAGTTTCAGTTTTTGGCTGATTTTTACTATAGCAAGGTCCATTCAAGAACGTGCATTTTAGGAAAGCCTGCTCTTTCGATTGTTTTCCCCTTTTTTAACTTTTAAGATAGTAATGTTTAAAAAAATCAGGAAAGGAAAAATAAAAGAAACTATTATGGGTTGATTTGATTGATTTGTTTATGGCTTGGTGAACTGAAAACAACTTTCCATTGATGTGGATAATAAAGTTATTCTATTCTATAAGATAATCATTAAAAAAAACAACAGAAAAGAATAGGCAAGTATAGAAATGAAAAACAAGAAAAGCGACGCATTACCTCGAAATAGGTCTCATACTCAATGACGATGAACTCTGACCTCGGCTTATTCTGACAGTAAACCACATACATGTGTAGACGACGCTCCTGTAAAAAACAAGAAAGTAAAAAAGAAATAGTTGTATTAGGTCTTCAACACATCCTGAGTCAAGTCCCAAGCAAATAACAAGAAGTCCTGAGCTCTGTGATAACTCAAATCTTATGTACAGACAACAACTCGAGCCAAGTTCAACCTCAGGAGCAAGTCATGAATTTAGAATTGAGCCCCATGTTGTTGTAGCTTCTGAGTTATTCAGCTCATGCTAGACCTTGACTCTCACCAGGTACTGGAACACAAACTTGTTTGGGACCCTAAACCAGCGAGGAGGTTCCCTCTAAGGCAGAAGGGAACAGGAACACACAGACGTAAACAAAGCTCTTAGAACATGTGGTTATCCTAACTGGGCCTTCATCAAATCAGTGAAAATGCAGAGGAAAGAATGCCAGACACCAACTAGGGAGAAACAGAACGACAACAACTTTTTCTGTTCCTGTAGCATGTTTATTGGAAATTTTCTCCAAGCATGGCATCCCAGTGCACTTCAGACATAGCAAATCTAGCAGACAAAAACTGGCTCATTGCAAGGACAAAACTCCTAAAAGCAAGATGAACAACATATGGTATGCAGTGCAGTGCAGTGCAGCGAGGAGGGCCTGGACCCTTTTATAGAAGAAACCAAACAGCCACTCTATAAATGTATGGTACAACATGGAGGAGTCATCTCAACAGGAAAAGACTCACCTGCATTTAAAAAACATTGGTCACTCTTTCCAGGAAACCATTTTGGACTGGGAAGACATGTTCCCAGGCACGTCAACCCCCCGCTCACTTCAGTAGGTCACTGATGGTTTAAGGCAAGGTCTCACAATGGTTTCAGTGGTAACCCCAGATCATGGTAATGATCCACATCTTTGTTCACATCTTAGATCATGTGAATATTCACATAATCAATTGTGGGTCTAAGCCAGGACAAACAAGTCAAGTCCTAATGCAGGGACAAGCTCAGTCTTAAGTTGACAATTGAGTGAAACTTTGATCAAAGTTCTAAGCCAAGCCATAAAAAGTAATGAGCCAAGTCCTATTTGAATCCTGATTCCTATCTTGAGACAAAAATAAATAAATTGAGCCCTGAATCTAGTTCTAAATGAAGCCCAAAGTCAAGACAAATGAGTTCTGAGTTGAGTCCCTGATGTCTCAGGTCAGAGCCATGCTATATATTCTGTTTTGAACAAGTCATTTTGTTTGTAGAACTCACATGTCTGATGAAGAGATCTGCGAGCAGGTCGTGATTCTGAATACAACGCTCTAACTCCACCAGGAAGAAGCTGAAACAGAAAAACACCCATTGAGCATGATGGTCTATCTTTGTGTATATAATGAAGTGTGTTTGTTCACGTGTGCATTTGTGGCACAGACTCGCGGTGCCAGTCGTAGATCTGCTGGATATTGCCGAAGACAATCTTGTCTTTTCCTCTCATCTCCTCTGGAATCCCTCTGACCTCCAGCCGGGACATGAAGCCCTGAGAAACGTCAACAGAGAACATGTCGTACATTTAGATTGACATTTGTAGAGTCTGGTGGGTGGAGCGTCAGTAGGTTCATTCTTTCAGTGTGATGTTTGTGTCTCACCTCAACTATCACTCCCAGATCCTTTACATAGTCCTTCTCTGATTGGACCATCTCATTAACGACAAACCTGCACACACAGAACCACAAAATTCAAGTCTCCTTAAATATGCATTCAAAACTTGGTCTTTGTAATAAATTTGGGTTTGTCTTACATGCGTCCTCTTAGTGCTTTGTTTCTCTGCTCCGTGTCTGATTCATTTGATCCCTGATCTGAGTCTAGAGCCTGAAGAAATAGAAAAGGCTGAAATTAAAAGACTTCTGTGTAACCTCAGAAAACTGTAATCTTTTATTGATGACAAGAAAACAGCGTGAATACTGTACACAGTTTGAAAGCTGAAGGCACCGCCTTGTACTTTTAAATACACTAGGAATCACAAGCAAGCCAGTAATCTGATAGTGTTCTATTGAGGTGATATGTTACTATAAGATCTTTAAGATAAGATGGGGCCTGATCAGTCAAGACCTTATATGTGAGGAGAAAGATTTTTAAATATAATTGTGGATACAACAGAGAGCCAATGAAGAGAAGCCATTACAGGAGAAATATGGTTTCACAGTATTCTTGCTGCAACATTGTGGATAAAATGAAGGCTTTTCAGGGATATTTTAGGACAGCCTGATAATAGTGAATTGCAATAGTCCATCATAGAGGTAACACATATTGAACTAGTTGTTCAGCATCACTCTGAGACAGGATGTTTAGAAATGTAGAAATACAGCAAGAAAAAAACAGTCCGACATCTCTTACAGTGTGCCTTTACGGACATATCTGGTCAAGATTCCTAACAGGAAGCCATGGTAATGCCATCCAGAGTCAGTATCTGGTTAGACACCATGCTTCCAAGGTTTTTAAGACCAAGTTCAGTAACCTCCATTTTTCCAAATTTAGATAAAGGAAATTATATGCCATGGAGGCTTTCAGGCCTTGAAGACATGCCTGTAGTTTAATTAATTGATTTGTGTCAACTAGTTTCATAGGTACCTACAGCTGGGTATCATCTCCAACAATGAAAATGTATGCTGTTTCCTAATAATATTACCTGTATGTATACAATGAAAAGTACCGATCCCAACACAAGAACCTCCATGAGTAACTCTCTTTAGTAACACGAAGAAACTGAAATGTACCAAATAGATATGACTCAAACCAGTGCAGGGTATTTATGTAACTATGAGGTCCACTGGCAGGAGACGTATGAGGATCACTGGTATCTTCCACTAGTGCTGCATGCAACTCTGTATTAGGACTGAAAACTCTTCAAATAAACCACTGTTCCGTATAAAAACATTTAGTTTATATTTGTAGTTATTCAAAAAGTTTTCTGAAGAGGTTTTTTACCCCGTGACTAAAGCAGCAAATACAATATTAAGCAGTTTATGGCACATTCATCTTCAGCCATTAAACATTTCTAGCTTTAAACAGAGCCACTCTTACCTCAGGATTGTTAGGGTCTTTGATGATCTGCATTGGGGGTGGTAGAGGGGTGTGGCTTTCTTCCTCTGGCTCCTCCTCCCCACCACTATGCCCTGCCTCCTCCTTCCTCACCTTCTACATAATTTAAGAAGCAATTAGTTTATGTTATCATTATTACTATTTTGTGTCTTTAACCCATCATTTGGATGGGTGTCTACACACCATTTGCGCATTTCCTGTGAGGGGTGTGGTCATCTCTGTCCTGTTGTCCCGCCTCCTCGTCCTGATTGGCGGTTTCTTCTGTCCATCTGCTTTTCCCTGACTCAGCCTCCGCACCGGACTAGTCAACCAGCGCTGCAGCAACAGTTAATGTAGTTACCGTTATTGATGCCACTGAGTATTGTATCACCAAGGCTACGGTTCATACAGCTGGTACAAATAGGACTAAAAACTCAGGAGTCCAGAGTTACCTGTGATACGAGCTTCATCAATGTCACCCAGCATGTTACAAATGTGTCCATCTGGTTTTAAACTACATTTTCATTCATGTGCTGATAGGATGTGCTGAGAACTGCATGAATCCAGTCCAAGTTTAACATATGAAGAGCAATTTGTGGAGATTTTCTTGATCTACAGAATGTTTTCCACTATCTGTTTTTTAAAAGAGCTTCTCTTAACTATTTAAAACACAACCTTCAAATAAATTTTGTCTCTTTGCCAACAATTTTACTTTTCTTTTATATATTTTTTAACACTCATTTATGCACAAAACAAGATTCAGCTATGATTACACATCAACACTCATACAATTTAGACACAATGATAAAAACTGAGGAAGCATTTCCTGTGAGCTAATGCTTCCAACTTTAATAATCCATTACATTTAAGGGGGAGCTATTTAAAGTTACAGTATCAAATGCTCATTTTAACCAAAGTTTCAGATTTCATGTAATGATGTGAACATATGCAAAAGTAAATATTATGAACCCAGAGCTCAATTCTTGTGACTGCTCTGAATGCTGTGTTTCCAAAATGACACCTTGGCAGCTCTGGATGCTGCCCCCTCAGCAAGTTTTCAGGAAGACGCCCAAGTAGAAGTAAAAAAGTTTGTGGACTGATGGGAGACAGAAGCTAAAGCAGACTGTCTGAGACACAAATAAACTGCTTTTCTAAGACAAAGAAGGATTATTTTTAGCTGTGAATAATGCAAAGCCACTGGAGTGGAGTCCTAGAATAAAAACAAACACAATAACTCCTCTTTAGTATTTTTGACCATAAACCACAGCATTAACAAATCACAACAAACACACAAAGTGCATATCTGCATTTCCCTTTGAGAATACCAGAGAACCCACAATTAAGATAACTAAAGCCCTCTGACTGTAGGTTAATATCCTGACCAGAATCAACTGAATTCTGTACTAAATCGTTGGTTTCGTTTTTGTTTTCATGTTTTGTTTTCAATCAGTTTCATTGTCGTATAATTTTTATTAGTTTCAGTGTTACTTTTAGTTACTTTGTGATGACCTGGTTCATGTTTGTCGAACTGTAAGATTTAAAAAACATTCAGACCAACAATAGAAATATCTGAGTCAAAGCCATGTAGACATCCCACTCTCCACAGATGAACCAAAGCTTTATGTTAACACATTTGACCCAAATTCTCCCATTTCAGTTCACAGCGAGCTGTTACCTTTAGAGTGTTCCCGGTTCCAGAGCCGCTCCGCTTCGCCCCCGGTGAGCCCGCAGCACCTCCTGCTGGAGCCCCTCCCACTCCAAACACTGTGGGAGAGGTGGCACCTGAGAGAAGAAAAGGCAGGGAGGGGTCAGAGGTGAGTTTTAGTGCTGTCTTTTCTGAGTGCAATGGGTGCTCAGAGTTATTACTGTGGTCTCACTTTGGCTAGTAGTCTGAGTCTGGAGGCCTGAAGTTTCAGAGCTGTACAAACTCGACTCTGCAGACACAAAGAAAAACAGATTATCAGTCGAGCAGGGCGATATGACCAAAAATATTTATCACGATATACATTTGAAAATTTGCGATATAACTGATGATATAATTGACACTAGACAAAATATTTTACAACTCCACAACTTTATTAGTGCAAAAAAAAGAAAAACATTAATGTATTTTCTCTAGAACAAGCAGCTGTTTTTTAAGTGCATTAAAGTTATACAAAAAAAAAAAAATCAGTGCAAATGAAAATTCCTTGCTGACAGTTTAACCAAAAAGGCATTTCCAGTGGAAATTGGCCGACATGTCCTCAGCATAACCATGTATAATATCCACAAAACTTAAAAAGAGGTTATACACACACAATACGGTAATATTATGTTGAAGCACAGTACGTATCACTCCATGAGGCGCCTGCCTACGATAGCCGTAATGCTCCAACAATCCATCAAGCGGTGCGGCTTCGTAGCTTAGCAAAGTCGTACTGAAACATTTGACAGACTTTCGAGCACCGTGTACCACATAAAATCATTTCGTCAGTAAACACAACCAGAATTCATACATAAGGCACATGGGATTATAAGGGGCACTGTCGATTTTCAGAAAAATCAAAGGATTGATTTTAAGTGTGCCGTATTTTCCAAAAAACACGGTAATAACGACGGCCCGCTAGCATGCGCTACCAAAAATAGTGCTTTGTTGTGTATCTGATGGACAAAAGCTAAACCAGTTCCACACCACTGAAGTTGCAGCATTTTTACAAACCAATTCTGGTTCATCTGTTTCATTCTACGATCCGCTTTCGCTCTTCTCATTCTCTGTCGCCGAAATGCTTTTTCCGCCATGTGCGTATGAAAACAAAGGCACTTGCGCATACACGTTTTACCCATATTCTATCGCGATATTTCATTTTCTTATCATAGCCCGACATTATACCGGTATTACCGTGAACGGTATGATATGGCCCAGCCCTAATTATCAGACTGTTAACAAGAAAAAACTGGACTGGAAATACAAGAAGGTGTGAGGTTAAATGAGAAAAACAGAAACTACTGTGAAGCCCGAAAGACACAAATAACACAGTTTCTTCTTCTTCTTTAGCAGAAGACTAAAAATTGTTGTATTAAGTTATATGAACACTTCTGGAAATCTAATTTCATGCTTTTTAAGCCCTCAACAAGGAAAATTTAACAACCTTAACTCAGCAAAAAAGCATGCACACCAGTCATGAAAGATAGTTGGTTTCTTTGAAGTAAGGAGGTATGAGGGACTTACTGATAGCTAGTTACCCTAGCTTAATTTAATTTTAATAGAATCTTTCATTTAAACCTGAAGTTTAAAGTGATTCACAAGTAAAACCCTAAACCACACAGAAAAGTGAGCAAAATAACAAAAAAGACACACAGAGACAGGACTCACAAAGAACCTGACGAATGAATGAATAAACTATTAGCATAAAACTACAAACACAAACAAAAAAATCTCAAAAACTACAACTACAGGCTGTAAAAAAAATCGAGTACATTACAATATTATTTTGAAAACAGATCAATAAAATAATATTACATGTAAATATATGTGAGCATCTATGACTTAAAAGTTAATGCTTAACTTGTGAAAGTACAAAAACCTGCAAAGTAAACAATAAATAAATATACAAACTGAGATTAAAAGAATCCAGTATGTTCAGCACACATGAAATAATGAATAAAAGTGATTCAAGATAACTCCATTAATAACAATTGATAAATGCAGACACACTGATTATGATAGGTTAGAACTGATATTTATTTTAATGACTTAAAATCAGCTGTAGAGTAGGTGTGTGGTATATTTAGATATACGCTGCCTTATTTGACCTCAGACAAGTTGTTACAACACTTTGCAGCCAGCAGAGCCCACTGACGGCAGCGTTCTACCTTAGAACAATTGAACTCCTGCTGCCTCCGCTTCGGTGAACCACTAAATAACAGTATTTAGTGCAAGTAGCTCTGACACATGAGATCTACTGGAATCAATATTTTACTGTAGAAAGAAGAGTTTGGGCACAAAGACTTCTTTGAGGGTGTTGTTTGAAGTTTTTCCTTTAGTTTATGTTTGAATGAGAATAATTAAATATTCAAAACGAACCTTGTGGAATTTTCCTTTCATAACTAAGAAGCAGCTTCATGTAGTTATCTTGCATTGTGTCTAAGACTAAAGTTTATTTAATTCTTACGTAATGGGACAATGTTCACTACATTTACTGTACCCCAAACTAAAGTCATTAGTTAATTATTTCTTTTTTTATGGCCGTCACTGAGAGCAGACAACCTTCTGATGACATTTTTCAAGACTTCCCGTCAGTGTTTCCATGTTCTGATTCATGCACGTGTATCAGATAATAACAGCAGCCCACGTCAGGAGGTTGGTGGTGTCGGGGCAAATCATTTCAGATTTTCAGGGACCCGAGTTGGAATCATACACGCAACAGATTTTTACAAATAATTTGTATTTTTGAAAAGATGTTATTTTGTTACATGTAACAAAATGTAAAATGTTACTTTTTTATGGAATCTGGTCAAATTAAATACATTCAGTTTACACTGAGCACATTTTCCTTAAAGAGTGAGCATTTGAATAAATAAATATTTGACTGATTTTGTGTATTTCAGTTGTGTTTTACCCAGAATTATTTTTTAAAGGTGTTATTACTTAAAAATATGGCTTTCAGTCAGGTTTAGGCATTACAAACTCCTGTGTTGGATTTACAAAAAACCCCGCTTGTTTGGGCTAAAATACAACTTCCACATCTTTAAAGCTTTATTTCTTTGTTGCCATGGTGATGCTTACCCGCTCTTTCTGGAAAAAATTCATGCTTTTGACATTAAACTAGGTTTCTTATTGAAAGGTGACAATCGTCTCCATGCACACAAAATAAAAGACTTGAATCTGACAAATGGCTGAACGTTGCCCCTCGGCAAGCTTCCAGAAGTTCACCAATCAGAAGAAAGTGTGGAAGGGCGACACACATCCTGATCAACAGTTTTGACCATACATTAGGAAACTTTGCTCAGTCACTTGTTGTTTCAGTGAAAATAATATTAACCTGGCAGGTGTGGATGGAAACAGGCATTCCTTTGCTTTTTCTCTCAAATTTGGTTTTATGTTGATGAAACTCTGCTGATTTCCTAACATTCATGTGGTTTTAGTCTCAGTGTAAAATCATGCTTTACAAACTGTGACTGTCTGACATTTTTGTTGTTTGCCAGCTGAAAACAACAGCAAGAGATTCTTATTACGGACAGACCTCTGCCGATTATTGTGGATATGAATATGGCTGCTTAAAACTCAGACAAATCCACCAGTTAGTCAGTCTGATTATTGTAAAATAGTCACTGAAGGACACACACACACACACACACACACACACCCCTACTGTCTGCACTGTGTTACTTTGTGTGTGTGTGAGGTCTTTCATACAAAAAAGGAAAACCTGCGTGTCCTGTTCACGACACACACACACATGCATATTCACACATCGTTCACATTCTTGCAGCGCTGTTTGCTATAAAGGCACACACACACACACACACACACACACACACACACACACACACACACATTTCATATTAACCATTGCACACCCATATATTTTCTCCAACACCTGTCACTCTCTCTCTCTTTCTGTCTCTCTCTCACTCTCTCAGTGTGAACCCACCTCGCTCGTCCTCTCGCTCGTGCACAATCCATTCCCAAATGCCCGAACAATCCCAGCATGCACCTCTGCCACGCCGCATGCTTCCACATCAGTCCATTCAGAGAGATATTAAGAAAGAGGCAGACTGACTGACAGAGGTGTTTCTCTGCTCTCAGCTGAATGACACTAAACAAGAGTCAGAGGTCTGGAGGTGGAGCCACAGCATCTAAACCCACAGAGGGTGGGTTTAGATGCTGTGCGGGAGTGGCTTATAGTGTAATAGTAATAATAAACTAACACAAATCAATTATAATGATAAATGTAATAAAATAAATAACCTATGAATGAAAAGAAAAAAACTTAAAATAATTTAAAATAAAATTAAGCAAAGTAAAAATAAAATGGTAGAGTAATAAAAGTACTACATAAAATCAAGTGAAGTATAAACAAAGTGAGAAAAAACACTACATAAAATGAATAAAATATAATAATAATAAAACCAAATTAAAAAATTATTTAAAAAAGATAATTTTTACAATAGGTAAAATGATATGAAAAATAAAACAAGTTTATTTGGAACAAAATATAAAATAAAACTCCATAAAACACAAAACAAAGTATGAATAAAAATAAACACGAGCGCTAAAAGGGAGTTTATTTTTAACTAAAGCTTCTATTGTTTGTAACGAGGAAGAACACCCAGCGGGTTGCCACACACACACACACACACACACACAGAGTCAGGATGATAAACTGTAGATTCCTGTCTGTGTGAAACTCCTTCAGGTCAATGTTTAACCATGTGTGTGTGTGTGCGTGTGTGTGTGTGTGTGTGTGTGTGTGCGCGCGTGTGTGTGTGGGTGTGTGTGTGCGCTTTTCAAACACCTTGCCAAACCAGATTACAGATTAAAGTTGGGACAAAGTTGCCTCACAGGTCGAGGCCACGCTCAGTGCTGCGGTCAGTTTTCTGTTTCCACTGAAACTACATAGGCATTTTTGTTTGTTTTGTTTTGTTATGTATTGAAACTTGTGGGAAGTATGTTAGCTGCTTGGATTAATTTATTTTTCTTCTGTGGAGTACTACTTATGTTGAGAGAGTTGAAGACACACACATATTTCTGTATTACACCTTCTTCCAGCTGTTTATTAGATTTATAGTGTGCAAATTATGTATTAATTCAATTTGCACTGCTCTCTGGCACAATGACAGTTTTACTTTTTATCCATTTTTAACATAAACTAATTTTATTTTGTTGTTTTCTTTGGGTTTTTTTCTTTTTTGGTATCTGTAAAACAGTAAAAGGTCCCACTATGCATCTGTGGTACTTTTATTTTGGCTTTTTTATTTATTCATTGTAGACTCCATCAATAAAGTTACAATAGATGACTAGTCACTCCTGTTACAATGAAGTCTGTGTGTTGGCTAATCGTAAAAAATCTACACAGCCTGTGTTTGTTGTCTGATGACAAAATTCACGAAATTATAACACACTTCTTAGAGAATACAGTGAATTTTCAAAATAAAATGTTCAGTACGGTGTCCCCTAGAGACAAAGCACGTATAAACTCCAAAACACGTACAAAGTCCAAAACACAACGGAAGTGCTCCAGGACGGTAGGGGCAGTGTTGAGCTTGGTTTGCAAAAAAAAAAAGGCAAGTTTGTTGCAAACACATGGAGTTGGATACCGGCAGAAAACACCAGCAAGGATAGAACAGCCACGCTTTATAAGAAAGGTAATGTGAAAACTGTTGTTTGTTTGATTTGTTTTTAATTACTATGAATGCTTGGTTCATGGTGGAGTCAAATCTGACGTTAACAGTGAGGTTCTCTCTGTGCTTTGCTCAGAGAGAACCTCAACACTGCCCCTAGCGTCCTGGAGCACTTCCGTTGTGTTTTGGAGTTTGTACGTGTTTTGGAGTTTGTACGTGCTTTGTCTCTAGGGGCCACCTTAGCCTCAGTGCAGGATAAACGCTCTTCTTAAATACTCCCAGTGGGATTTGTAGCTGTAATAAGGATGGAACAATTCGTCATTACAGACGCACCTGTGATTATACTGTCTTTGTATTTAGTAGGACTTAGAAAGGTTATGTTGGCGTGAAGTTTGTGAATGGCCGGTCTATAGTACACCTCACAGTGATGGACATCACACTAGTGCAGGACAGACTGTGGTATCCACAGTCTCCGCTAGGTTCAGTTTTAGGGCTCCAGGGATAATTTTGAATGTAAGCTGATGATGATCTTCAGTGTCAGCTGCAGGTCTGCTTCTTAAACAACATAGAAACATAGAAAAAAAACATAGAAAATCAAGTTGATTTACAAAATAAAAGACCCTCCGCAGTTTTAGATGCTTCAGAAATGCATCTGTTGTAAAGAAGAAGAAAAAAAACACTGTCAGACCAGCAAAATATGCCCTGTGTATCCCTGTGGTTATGCATTTCCCTGTTTCCTATGCATTACACTGTTTTTACACTGGCTCAGGGTTTAGAGCAGTAAACCTCTGAGCAGAAGCATTCTGTCTGGAAACAAGAATCTACTGTTCCTAAAATGAGTCAGTTACCCTGAATAGACTGCTACACTAGATGTTGGCAAGAGTCTTCCCTCCTGCGAAACCCCACGTTAACACCTTCTTGTGCTGACATTTGGTTTGTTCCACAGGTTGCACAGCTGGAGGTGTTGGCATTACTGGAAACTATCATTATGGTCACGAGGTTTTATATATAATATATATAATAAACTTTTTTGAAGACTCTGTGGTCTAGTGGCTCTAAAAGTGTGGGCTTCAGCCCCCTGTTGGGCTGTAAAGGTACCGCAGGTGGGTGAGAAGTCAGGTTAATGTTCATATTTACAATTTAGGTAAAAATGTTCTTTAAATATTTACATTTAAAAGGAAAAGGGGCTAATCAAACATCCTAAATTTGTCTTATATTTAGATCAAAAAGATGGAAATATTTCTTTGCAGGCTTGTGTGATGATCAGAGTTGTGATTAACGGTTTAGTTTTCCAGAAGCTTATAGCCAAAGCTGCATTTTGAGATGTTTCCTCATTACTGTGGACCATCTCCTTGAAGCTCATAAAGCTGTGATGTTAATGTGAAGCGGCAGAGTCTGACAGACACAAAGCACATTTAATTTTTCATGCTCAGCTATGGGACAAGCACTCAAGGACTCAAGTGTGTTTACAACTTTACAAACATGGATTTAAATATTTAGGTGGCACAGAGAGAGAGCGAGGATGTGGTACACATACAGCATGAGGATGTTTAAAATTGCCTCTGGCTAAACAGGAAGTGACATCGAGCAAACAAGGGATGTGCTGCCGCAGTTTAAAAATGACCACGCTGTTGTTTTAGAAGGTATGTTTTCTCAGGAATCACTTTTTTAGATGTTTTCCTGCACATGGCAGTTAGAGCATCATTAATATCTGTGATTACAGTCAGGTCCCTTTGGGGCTGATGGGAACACAGGCAATAAGTTCTCTAGGTACTCACCCCTCCCGGCGCTCACAGTAGAGGAGTTAGAGGTGGAGGTGATGGTGGTAGAGGATGAGTTGCAGGAGGAGGAGGTGGTAGTGCTTGTAGAAGAGGTGCTGGAGGATGTGGTGGAGGCTGGGAGCAGTCCCTCCATATCGGCTGCACTGTGGGAGTGCGACAGGCAGAGGGTGCTCATGGGCAGTAGACCCTCCTGTGAGTAAACACAGCAGCGATGTTAGAGGGATGGTTGAGCATCAGAAAAACAAGGAAACCCTCTCACACACTTTAACGGTACTTATGGCTATAAGTTCTTGCCTTTGTTACACGTGGGGACCTTCATTATATTTGTCACTTATGGGGACATTTGTTGCTAATCTGCTTAACAGCCCCTTTTTCCTCAGTGAGTGTGTCACTGGTTTTAATGGTTAGATAGAAATCTAAGGTTCTTGTGTCTGAGGTCATTCATTACATCAGTTGTCCAACCCATCATATAAAATAATCTGCTAATTTTCTAAGCTCAACCGCTTCGTTTCTTTCATCTAAAGTCCCTCAGTAAAAATCAGACTATTACTGGCACACGATACTTTGGATCTATTAGTAGATCCTTTAGTGCTTTTCTCATTCCCTCAGCTGCTCTGGACCACAGCAGGGAACTTAATCCGGAAACTTTAAAGCTTTCTTACCAACTTCCTTTAATCCAAAAAGGACATTAAAAAGATCAGAACTTCTTAATGTATAACTTGAAGTAGAAAGAATTTTTAAAAAAAAGAAAAGAAAAATGTTTCAGACCACAAGGACAGTCAAGTTAATATGTTTAAAGATAAATTGGCACCATAGAAACAGATATCTTCTATCAGGAAGTCAAGTTTGCCAAACGCTGTGAAACAATGTGTAAGAAAAAAGTATGAATATAATTCTGCAGAGATAAATATTTTAATTCTGTTTTATTTATATAGCACCAAATCACAACAACAGTTGCCTCAAGGTGCTTAATATTGCAAGGCAAAGACAATAATACAGGAAAAACCCCAATAATCAGACAACTCCCTATGAGTAAACACTTGGCAACAGTGGGAAAGAAAAACTCAGTTTTAACAGGAAGAAACCTTCAGCAGAACGAGGCTCAGGGAGGGGTGGCCATCTGTCACAACTGGTGGGGGTTGATGGGGCAAGACAGGAAGTTTTGCTACATGTGGGGACATTTAGTTTGTTTATTATTTGCTGGGATGTTTGTTTTGTCTTCTGAATGCTAATTACCTGTTGAGGTGTTTGATCTGTGGTTCTGACCAGACACCACCCGGGCCGATCTGCTGAGCGCTCCACCAGCTCCACCGTCTGACCGCAGCGAACGCTGATCTCTCCCGGTCCTCCGGCAGAGAAATCCAACAACACCACGACTAACTCGCAGCCTCCTGACAGCTGCACGCAGACAGGTAGGACAGATTATTTACAGGCGGAAGGTGTCACCGCCGTGTTGTTAAACGATAATAACAGCATCATTAGCATCAGTGCTCCGAGCTCTGAGAGAAGCAGACATTCATTCGCACTCAGAGAGGTATCTCCTGGAGTCCATGACCTCACTCCCATGCAGCTCACTGGGAGCGTACAACCTCTATTTCTCCAAATGATAAAACCAGGAAAATTCAGAATAAAGTGAGGGAGCAGTCTGAGATATGACTTTAGACCCTGCAGATGGCTAAAAATAAGACTTAACGTGTTTCAAGCTGCAGGGCAGGAATGAGTTACAGATTACAAAGACACTAAATACAATATAAACTATTAATAAAGAACAAAGTCAACTCAACTTCAAGACTATGAGCTGTGCCTATAAAGTTCAACAGTGTGGAGATGTTTGTCTTGATGTATGCTCAAACATCCAGGTGAGGAAATCCCAGAATGCTGATTCTGTTCATCTGAAAAAGGGTCAACTTTCTTTTCTCCTGAAAGCTAATCAGCTGCTTCTATATCCACTTAATCTATGGTCAATATGCAAACATATAGAAACATGGATCAAGCTTTTCTGGCTTCTCAACCAAAAAGCCGTCTGCTGGGTTTAAATGACTCTAACTGAGAGCTGACGAGTGAAAGTCACTTCAGTTCAGCAGAAACATGACCAAACCACAAACCATGAAAGCCTCTCATATCATCCAAAAACAACCTTTCTCTGATTGGCCCAGAGAGCAGCATAAAACATCATGTGATCTGGTCACCGTGGTTACCGCTGACTGTGAGCTCCAACACGTGGGCTGCAGCTGGAAGAGAAAACACTTGTAGCGTCTGCAGGGAATGAGACGGGTGTTCCCCAAAAAATCCAACACAGATGTGAACAGATGTGTGCGTTCAGGGAGGACGCAAAGGTCTGTCAGAAAGGTCAGAGGTTGCCGTGTCAACTGTCACAGTGATCTCAAAGACTGACAGAGAGCCCAAAAAGTTGGACAGGACGGACGGATATATTTCCAATAAGGAACCAGGTTGCAGTACTCATATTATTTTATTCACACGTATACTGGTATTTATTAATTAATTAATTTACATTCATTTAATTAGCTATAAAACGGATTTTTCAGAAATTTTCTAAATACTTTTATGTTTTTTTTATCTTTAAACATGAAAAAAAACCTTTTCAGATAATTAATTTTTATATTTTATTTTTATTTTGTAAAAATTTAAATTTAAATTTTATCTTTTCTAAAACTGTAAAATTGTATTTTTTATCCAAAGATTTATTTTAAAATAAAAGGTTTATTTAAAATACTTTAGAAATACTGTAAAAATAGTGTTTTCAATGTTAACTTTGTGTATAACATAATATTTTGATTATAATTTACATTTTTTTTTTAATTTTTTATCTTTATTGAAATAGTTGTATATAATTTTTTTTATTATATCTAAAATGTTTATTTTGCATTTTTTTCTGACATCTTCTTAAGATTTACCTTTTTGGTGGATTTTATTTTTCATAAACATTTAATTTTTTTCTAGTAATCTTCTGAATACTCGTATTTAGCACAATATATCATATCGTGCTGAACATTGTAAGGATAAATTCATGAAAATGCAGAAATGTTCCTTATTGTTGTTCCTTAATGTTTTCTTGCTCTGATGGATTAATTTAGACTTGTTATTATTGTCGCCACTTACATGCTGTCCCTTTAACTCCTCACAGTGACAAAAAAAGTGTATTTTTTCTTTTTCACCGTGTTATAGTCACCAACGCAGTAAAAAAATAAAGTCGTCCACCTTCCTCTCTTAACTGTCTCACAAATCAGAGCACAAGCCAGCAGGGTCAGAGTTTCCAAGGTCAGAGGTCACTGCCACTCGCCCCACTAATGAGAAGCAGGTAAAATAAATGAAACGTACCTCATCAGGAGAGCAGAGCAGTGAAAGTTTCTTGAAGGAGTCCGACCATGAATAGTGGAAACTCCCTCAAGCACACCAAAAACACACACCCAGCCAGCTGCAGCAGCAGTGAGGTCATACGACTGCTCGACACACCCTCTCACAGTGTGTCTGTCTGTGAGTGTGCGTGCGACTGTGTGTGTGTGTGTTACCTTGTCGCTGTCTGCGGTGTTTTGTGACGTTCGGGAGGCGATGGAGACGGTGTCGGGTTGACTGCTGGCATCACCCAGACTGTCTGCGTCCTCGCTCGTCTCCCTGAAACAAACAAAAACAAAATACTCTCACAGGTCAAAAGTATGTGGACGCTACGTGCGATCTTTTAATCTAGTTTGTTTTCCTCGTCAGTCTGCGCTTCTTATTTCTTCTACTATAAGTCTGAAGCACATTTTCCTTTATGGACTAAGACGTCAAATATTTTCTTCCTCTTGGGTAGGAAAAGTCAGGAAATGATATAAAAGGTCTGTTAACATTTCTAAAAGCTTAAGAGGTTGTCCATAACTTTCCTGATTTATCCAACCAACAGCTCAAACCCAGGAGTAATAAAGGTTTCAGATTTAACTGGCTATGTTTAAAACGTTCGCTTTCTTTTATGTAAGGGCTCCTGTAATATTACAGTAATAAGGACATTTCCATGTCCTGCTTGCTTCATAAACACAAATGGAAAAAACTTTTGACTCGATCCAACATGAGAAACTTATGAATATCCTTCATGAGCTGGGACTTCATGGATGCCACATTCGATTGATTGGAAACCTGTAATGGTTTCAGAGACCAGGTGTACTCCAAGTGGAAGTAAACTTAAGTCTGACACAAACAGTTTTGATATATTAAGCATATAAATCTTAATAGCAGAAATAAAATAAGTGCTTTCTCACTGGAGTTTGGAATTCAAATATTAGCAGCACTGAGAATTAGGGCTGTCGATATAACAGGTCAGGAGTCAGTATTACTGTTTAAAGGCCATCTGTGTGAGCTGACCTGCGGTTGATGCTGCGCTGTCGCCCCAGCGTCGGGTTGGGGGTCTTGGGGAGGGGGATGGGCTCCCTAAGTGCCCCCCGCAGGTGACCCCGCCTCTCCTGGATCACCTGCCGAATGCTACGAACCCACTCCTGCTTCAGCTCCAAAGATGATGCCTAAAAGTAAACAAAAAGAAGGATTATTCCGTAGATTGAACCATCACTGTATGAATGTTTACTTACTCATTTATTGACAGGAGCACACACCTTTAGGACTGTCTTGTTGTCTGAGGTTGGCGTTCGTCCAACCCACAGTGCAAACTTACAGGGGTCGCCCTCTATGTGCTCTGTTACACCGAGCTCAGAGGTCTGAGACAGAGACAAGAAGTAAGAGAAACTTTGTAGAATATCTTCAGCCAAATTAGTTCCATTTGTACTTTTCTGATTTGAACGGAGCAAAGCTGGACGTTGTCCTTACCCTCAGCCTGCTCTTGTAGATGTATTTGGTCCGTCCAGACGAGTCTTTGATCTCCTTGCTGAAGATGAGTGACAACTCGAACAGGAAGAGGTGTCGGTCCCGCCCCTTTCTGATTAAAGACTTCGGCTCCCAAACCAGGAAGGAGTCTTGCAGCAGGAGCTCGCCCTGAACATCCAGACCATCCTCCACACCTGCAAGATACAAGACAGTGAGGGGCCTCCAAGACATTTCTGTCAAGTTTTGCTTTTAGTTTTAACCTTTTAAAGTTTATACATTACTTTACAAAAGTCTTGAGCGACTCCCCGTTGCTTTTTACTTACTAAAATGTGAAATAGGTGCAGTGATTTATTTGAACATGTCCAAACACACATGCAAATACAGTTTTTACTATTTTAACGAGCTTGAAAGTCAATATTTGGTGTGACAACCTTTATTCTTCAGCACAGACTGAAATCTCTTAGGCAGCTTTCTTGTCATGTCTTTAAGTCGTCTTCAGGAATAGTTCTCCAGGCTTTTTGAAGGACATTCAAAGCTCTTCTTTGGATGTTTCAGCCTTTCATTCTGTTCTCTGTCATCATGATCTCACACTGCTTCAATAATCTTGAAGTCCGGGATCTGGGGAGGCCAATCTATTAATTAATTATTAATTAATTTCCTATCTGGGTCAGAATCTGATGGTATTTTCTGTGTTGATATTGATCAACTTTAGCACTATCTCCAACACCACTGGCTCCAAACCATGACAGAGCCTCTACCGTGTTTTACAGATGACTGTAAACACTCATTTTTTTACCTCTCTGCTGCCAAACCGTGTTATCTTTTGGTGTTTTTCACAGATTCAGCTAAAGAAATGAGAGCAGATGTGGTTTTTTAACAAAGTGTTTAAAGACATAATTTAAAATTGGCTCTCTGCTAAGTTGTCACATGTAGACACAGCACTGGTTCCTTGAGTTTGGTGCATTTTATGCTTGAATGATTCAAAGGTCACTGTTAAGTGTCTTAACAAAGAAGAAATTCTTCTGAAAAGCCTGGTGAGACCTTCAGAAAGCCTGGAAAACTATTGATTTGATCACTTAAAAATAACACAAGAAAGCTTCACTTCCTGGAAGCAGACTATAAAGAAATGAGGGGTGGCTCCGTGACAGTACTGTATGAAGTTCTTCATTAGATAACAACCGGAACAATTCATAATATGTCCTGACTTCATGTGAAAAATATTCTGTGTTACCTTCCAGCATGCTAACGTGCATAGCATCGTTTGCTCTCTTTGGGACACTCAGCATCACATCCAGGCCTTCCTTTATCTCGCCTTTTCCCTCCTCACAGCACGCCAGCAGCTCCTGCATCACATTAACACATATACAGGTTCATCAGTTTTTTCCCTGGAAAATGAAGTGCTGAACTCTGTGAGAAATCTTCACAGTGAAAAAAAGATGTTTGAGTTTTATATTATAATGGTTTGTGGGTGATTTTAATATTTTTAAAAAACTGCAAAAGAACTTGTATAAAAGAGTAGCGCATTTCTCCATGTTTAAAATATATGATTGCAGATATTTTAGAGAATTAAGCCCAAACCGGTCCCCCAAAAAAGCCAGATATTCCCACAAACCTGCCAAAAAACAAAGAGCATGTCGCCATAGATACGCTAAGAAATAAACAAAATATCTCCTTATAACTGCCAAAAAAACAAACAATCAAGATGTCCTCATATGCCTGCCAGAAGCAGTCATATGTCCCAATAAAGGCACCAAAAACAAGCCAAATATCCCCAGAAACCCGCCAGCAAGATGTTCTCCAAAGCTCACCAAAAAACAAGCAAGATGTTGCCATAAACCCACCAAACAAACAAGCCAAATATCTCAATAAACCTGTTTAAAAAGAAAAACATAATGTCCCCATAACCCCCCCCACCCCCCACCCCAAAAAACAAGCAAAATTTCCTCACCAAAAATCTCCCTATAAACCTGCCTAGAAACTAGTAACTTAGACAATTAACTGATGAGAAAAGTGTTTTCAGTGGTCAAGTGAGGAGTCATTTCCTCATAGACTTCCATAGAATCAGCCTTAGTTTTACAACAGAAGTCACCTCCCTCGTGGCCATCAGCAAAAAATAGGGCAACCCTGCAGAAGCTTCACTTTGTATATTTCTTCACTGCTCTGGTTTGAAGTATTAAAAAGTTTGAAAAACAGTTAAAACATCACCCTGAACAGTGGCAACATAAAGAAATGAAGCTCAGTCTAAAGGGGGTTACGTGTTCGGCACCTTCAGCCTCCTGCTGCTGCTGAGTTACAACAAAGTTTTCAAACTGACACGAAACGCTTTTTATTCATTATTCCAGGCACACACGCTGTGTCCTCTGGGCTCCATATAAAGTATTCGGGATTGAAAGCTGTGCTCAGAAAAAATCCTCTGAGGCGCCGTGTTTTCCAAACAGCCAGAGGGATGAAACATTTCCGAGCTTTCCTCTAAATTTAACAGCCTTCTAAACAAAAACAGTTTGGAGCTCTGTGGGAAACACTTCGTTCTCGTGTGTTTTGAATGTGGGGGAAACATAAAAGAAATTCAGGGCGTACCTTGAGCAGCAGCTGGTATTTGGTGATCCTCTGAACAGGCTTGATGAGAGCCGAAGAGATGGAGTTTGCTAGACCGTGTCTTCTCTGGACCTCCTGTACACACAAAATAAAATGTTAGAGTTCATATAAAAGATCATTAATCAAGCTTTAAACCAGTCAAATAAAATTCAAACCACGTTTGTTGGTGACTCACAGGGAGAGCTGAAGAAAACACACTTTGTTTTATGGTCCCATAAGCTCTTTTTTATCTTCTTGGTTATGTTTCCTATCGTTGCACTTATTTTTATTTTTTCTCTTATATTAGTATTACAGGGGAAACTGAACCAAGTAAATAGTAAACTGTACTGTAAACTCAAGAACTGATGTTTTGGGAGCTTGAAAAGTGGATTTGTTAAATTCCAAACACATCATGAAAGAGCGCAAACTTGGCCTATATTTGCAGTTTTCTTTGGGCCACACTTAGCCTTGACTGGTGACCAGTTCAGGGTGAGTCTGGTTGTCTCAGTTCAACCACAGGTCCATGTTATTTGGGCCAGAAGTTACGTGTATTGTGGCATTTGGACGATAGATGGCTAAAAAACATTTAGCAGTGCTGTAATTTAGCCACAGATAGCCCAATGTGTATGCTATCTGTGATTTAAACATGGTTTCTAACAGTGAAATTTCCAGTTCCTTGTTTATTCGTTACTTAATTTATGTCTGTGAAGGTTCTCAGTCATCCAGGTCATTGTAGTCAAAGGAGCTTGCAAAGAAAAGTGTCTGGACTTCTTTAAGTTGCTTGAAGACGTTTC